ACTTGAACAACATCATTGCGATCAAAAGCTGATGAAGAACTAAAAAAACATTGATACAATTTTTTTACACATTTGTTTTTCATTTTTATAATTTTAGAACTAAATTATGGCACTGCTTATAGTCATACAGTTATTCCAATTTTTGCTTTAATATACCATTTTTTTACATCATTATGTCGTGGTTGCTATAAAATAAAAACTACTCAATCTATTTATGTGCGAGATTTTCTAAAAAGTTATACATTCATTAAGTAACTGGTAGATACTATAGTACTAAAACCACAAATTTTTAGTGCGTTTTGATAAGTTGTGCTCCTTTCAAAATAAGTCGCAAACCAAACATCTTCAGTCCAGTTCATATAAAAAAAGGAAACGCATGCATTTTTTCATCAAATTTAATAACACAATCAAAAACGTACATTAATAAAGCTTAACTTAAATTTAGTACTTTATAGTCTCCTCAAGGTAGTATTTGTTATATTTTCGCCAACCGAAACGTTTCTTTGGATCCTTTTTACTCCATGCCGGCGCCAAATTAGGCATTAAACCCGCCTTCTGAGCCATAGTGACCAATGTGCCAATACGCTTCTGCTGCCTGTGACATAATCCTGTAATACGTCGCGGTAGCATACAACCATCGGAGCGCACATATTGGGACAATATAAGCACATCTGTATGTTTGATATCCAAGCCAAGTGTGCACTCCGGACAGAAGCCTGTGCCACAAGCTTCTTTTACCATACGTTCAGCACGTGGTGAGGGTAATGTGACAGCCTGTAGAACAAGTGCATTTTTCTCTATTTTCTCCTGAACTACAATTTAATGTAGTTAAATGTTAATAGTGAAGCAGGAAATGAAAAAGTTATGAAACAAGAACCCTAAAGTAGTAAGTTGCGTACTCGTTACTTACTTTCTTTTATCAAAAGCGGAGCGGTGGTTGTTATGCTGCGATTTGTTTGAGCTACTTTGAGGCAAATGGTTTGGCCTACGAAGCGTAGTAAATTAGACATTTTTATACAAAAATTTTATTAATTTACTTTATTTACAAAAACATCTGAGAGAACGTTATCTGCCAAAATATGTTCACAATGGTGAATTCAATAAGCTCTCGAAACACAGCTACAACAAGAGTTTTAAAAATTTCCTGAAAGGGCGTTTCCACATCGGCCAGATTGCGCAATTTCAACAATCAATTTCGGGGCAGCGTGGAAACGCCAATTTAGCCAATTTTTAAAACTCCTGATGTACAGCCCTATTCTAATAAAACCTCACAACTGAGTTGTGAGCAAAACATTGTGAGATTTCTTGTGAGGTCTATATTGTGAGGTTATTCTAGCCCACACCTCACAAGAAAAAAGCTCAACAAAATCACCACACGAGGTGGAAAGCATTTTGCTGTCTAACAGCTGTTTCGTAAATAAAATAAATACAAAAGATGGTGGCTGAACAACAGGACAAGTAAATATTTTTGCAATTTGTTTATTTTTTTGATAATTACTTATTTTATTTTTTTAAGCGAATTTAAAAATAAATAACAAAGCAGGAGTAGGTCGAGTACTTCACACAGTTTGCAATCCACAACTTGGAGCAAAAGTTTGTACGGAAATGAAATCCTATGCCTGCTCTAACTCTTCCGAAACTGCCGCAAAAACAAGCAATAACTCCGCCATTACTGAATATACTTTTAGTTAAAAAAAAACATAACACAGACACTGATAGCGAACGAAAATTAACAAAACATTGCTCACTAAAAATCGGCTGTTTTTCTCTTGTGAGGGTCTCATTCGTACATCATAAATTTCCTGACAATTGTGAGCGTATGAGCTTTTGAATTTACGCCAGCATAGGGATAACCTCACAATAGTCAGAAACCTCACAATAGTGAGTGTGGTAATTTTTGTGAGGGCAACAGAATAGGGCTGGTAGATAAAGAACGTAGATAGATAGATTATCTACGTTCTTTGGTAACACTGCACACCGTGTATGCCGCCTATAACCGGCCGTCTTCACGTGCTGGAAAATCTCTCTTGCGTGACGATGCATGCGAGATCACGCACGTGTAGACCGCAAAATGTACAAAGCATACTTTCGCTCGGTATGCGAGATCTCGCATGCTTTCAACTATCATTTTTGCTGTTTGACAGGTATTTTCTTATATCACAGAATTCATCAGAGTAGGACATCGATTATTTTGGTGGAAAATATAAAGTCGGCCTGGAAAGCTCGAACCTTCTCTTCTGGCGTCATTTTACATATGGAAAAGTATGCTGTCAAATGCCCAGTCAGCAAAACTCTATCTCGCTTGCGAGAGAAAACGGTAGGGCACGCTCCCGCAACTCACACTCGTTACAAATAGACTGCTTTTACACAGTTCAAGTATTGAATTCAATTCTGCTCACATGTGGAAGAGAGGGGGTGAGAAGAAAAGGGACGAGTACACATGCGTCTGTACCGTCAAGTCGTTTCAACTTTCTTGCTTTGCTTTTGGCATTTTCGTTGCTTTCCATTTAAAGAACCAAAAACTTGAATTCAACAGAATTGAAACGTGTAAAAGCAAATAGAAAACGCAAAAGAGAATGAGCAAGAATTGCTTTCAAGTACTTGAAACATGTAAATCGGGTGTTACAACGTGTTCTTTCCTTCTTATTATCTACGTTCACCGGTCAAATTAAGAATCATATCGCAATTTCAGCTGAAATTGCGCAATTTGGGTGTGTGAAAACGCCCTTTTTACACTTTCATTGCAAAGAAGTTTTTCTTTCGTACGGCAGCACGCAGGTGATTAAACACACCTTGAACCGGTTTGTGGATTGTCAGTAAAATCGTGTTGTCTCACTTGCACATATGCTATCTTGCGCCTTTCGGAACGATATTTAATTATCTCTTCTCGTTCGCAGTCGAACAGCTAAAAACGTAAAAATTTTTTCGTGAATTTTCACTTCCCATTCTGCATTAAACTAAAGTAGTGGTGTGTGTTGATAATCCAGGCAAAGTTTTACTAAATTTTCTCGGCCGAGCTAAATTTTTTTTTGTTTTAATCGTAAGTAAAATACAAGCTTTTTCATATATTTATACCCAAGAGAATTAAAAAACAAATATTTGGTGTAAAGGACCGAAATGAATATAAGGTGCTGAATCATCCAAGATGGTGGATTGCTGTGTCGAGCATAATGATGTTTAGGTGTTGTCATTCCCTATTTATTTAAATATTTGCGATTTATCCAAAGTAAATTTTGTTGGAAATTGTTTTGAGGAGATTTGTAGTCTCGGGTAATTTATTAAATAAGGTCGCCGTGGTCAAGTAATTGCTAGGAGTTGGGCACAGGCAAGTTGGCGCGGTGGGGAGACCACGTTCCGCTGCCCACACAAAGTTGTACACGTAAATGCAACGCTGCGCTAGAATTTCGCAAATGAAAATGGCGGTGTACAGCACGAACGAAATCGGTTCACTTTCGAAAATGGTGATTAGGGCTGCCATTGATTACGATAGGCAAATTTAGAATCGAGGGAAATGTTGGTGTTTCATATAGTTATATTTGTGTACATTTATGTGATATTTATGTTAATTTACCTTATTTGGATCTGTATTGAAAATATAGCCAGCAAAGAAAAAATTAGATGCATAAAATATTTTCTATCGGTCTAGTAGAAAGAGGAACGACAACTTTGCCATCGGTGACGCTGACTTTGCGTTATGATTAGTGATGAGCTGAATTGTCGGTACCCAATACTTAAAAAGGATTTCGGTACCCAATACTTCATTTTCGGTTCCCGATACCGATTCTTTACGTTAAAACTTCGCCATTATACGCACTTTAAGTTTAGAAAACACTTTCATTACTAATTTATGTGATATCGGCTAAAACACTTGAACTTATCGCAACAGAGATATTATTTTATCAGTTTTAACCTTAGTCGATGCAAGGTTTAAGAAAAATGGTTTAACGCATAATGAAGCCTTTCAGGGGAGAGATTATGTAACCAGTTAGCGACAAGTTTCGATATCGCACTTGTTGACGTAAAAATATTTCATATGATACTGTGGAAACACAACATGAATTCGCCTTGCGTGGCAACACTTTTGTTGAATTGACTTTTCCTCTATTCCTTTTTAACTCTTGTTTTTTTTTCACTTTTGCTGTTGCAAGTTAAAAACTGTAAAATTTCCCCAGTGAGGTTTTTAGATCATTCTCGAAATCATTCATTCAACGTGCACATTCTAATAAAAGTTCTTGTCATTAGTTTTAAGTTTTTGGAAGATGATTAAATAAACGTTTTAGTTTATTAATTAATCATATGTGGTAATTTAATTCCCCACAATACGTCAACAAAACCGATACCGATTCGAAAATTGTCGATAACTGGTTACAGAATCTGCTACCAGGCCTACAAAAATTATATCTTACGATTCAGCTAGAACAAAAATGTTTCAAACAAGTTAGAGTTTCACTGCATTATGGCCTCGAAGCGACATATATACATCTTTCATTTGAATCAGTATTAAAAGCTCTATTGGCTCCTGCATTCGGGTTTTGATAGGCGAGTTTTTCCTGAACCTTTATTTGCGTATTTTTGCCCTATGTGCGCTTTATTCGAAACCTAAATGTTTCGGTATCGAGTATCGAGAATATTGGATACTTTTTAAATCGGTACCGAGTATCGATCAATACTTAAAGTATTGACTCAGCACATCACTAGTTTTCACCATCTTTTGTGTTTCGTTCACTAGAGCTGGGACACTATCGATAGTTGAAAACATCGATAGTACTTTCGTCGTGAACCACATTATGTAACCAGAGTTCAATTGAAAACCTCAATTCTTTGAAAATTTATAAATTACACATATTTTTTTTGTATTTGAATGATTCTAAAGGAACTTTATAATAATAGAATAAACTTATTAATTTATCAGTACATCTTAACTAGATATGTATACTTATGTACATACATACATTTCCATGCAATAGGGAGGGGCAAAATCTGAATTTTATAAATGTTTCAAGATGTATAGTTCAAATTTCTATAAAAAAATTATGTATGGAGTTTTATAGCATAATAAAATTTTAATACATATAATGATTCTTAGTATTTTTTTGGTGACGGTGTTGTGAATTTCCTTCCATATAAGAACAATGTATTTACCTATATAAATAGTGAATTGTTCTGTAATGTATGAATATTTAAAATTTTACTTTTGCTTGAAATTGCCTCGAGCCATGAAGTTGTGTAGAGATGTGAAGAGAATATAGTGAAGATATGCTAAACACCGACATCGATGTTTTCAAAAGCTATCAATATAGGCAACAGTTTCCAACTATCGATAGTATCCCAGCTCTATCGTTCACTTCCTCTGTATCGTTCGGTAATAAAAGTGTGATCATAATTTGAAGGCGCACGTTCTGCCTAATTTTAACCTTTATTTTTATATCTAAGTTTAATTTTGTATTTTTTCAATTATATTAAAAAAAGTAACTGTGATATAGCCAAAAAACTGAACTGAAGAGAATTTGAAAGGAGGAAAGAAAAAGAAAGTCCATTTCTATAGTGAGTGCATGCGTGTCAACTTTTTTTTTTTTTTTTTGAGCAATTATAAAGACGGACATAAAGCGGAATTGACAAGAAAAAGAGGAAAGAAAGAGGAAAGAACAATAAGTAGAAGCCTATTGCAGTTGATTAGTGACGAACTCGCCAGCTTGAAATTTCACAAATTTCTAAAGCGAACAAAGAGAATAAACTTACTGTCTGTTGTGGGAGGTCAAGCAATAAACGGAAACTCCTTGAGAAGACTAGTATTTTAATTTTCCACATTTGAAACTTGTAAGTAAAATATGTAATTGTGACGGATATTTTGGGAAAGTTTGAGGTTCAGTTGCCAGGATATATGGTACATTTTTGGTATTATTCAAACTAATTACTGAATTTAGTTAGATACTTATTTATGTATAGTTATTTTTTTATATATGTATATACATATAGATATCAAAGTATTAACGACTGATTGGCGTGGCTGCGACTGCAACATGT